GTACGAAAAATAGAAGGCCGAGGGTTTTAAGATGCAACTTGTAGATGCAGTTGTAGCTAATAATTACCAAACTTACGTTAGGTAATTGTAATTGGTCACGTTAAATTTTTTGCGTTATAAGAAAGATAAAGAATTTGACTTATTGTAATTAATCATAAATTCATATTTTCAATTTAATTTTCCCTGGTCGGACTTCTCTTGTTTTTTCCTATCATTCCTCCGCAGGACCTCTTTTAGTTCTATTTTGGGGCGAGTTTTCCTGTGTTACTTCCTCTTGCACTTTTTTCTCTTGAATGACTTTAGTCGGTGTAGTTTCCCATTGTTGCTACACAGTTCACCAATGTACAGAATACAAAGGATGTGTCCGGTAGACATTTTTATAGTAATTACTCTAGTAAAAAAACAATTACGTCACTTAACGTAGCAACCCTACCTATTTGGTGTTCCTGTTTGGAATTCAGATACGAAATTGTAGGTACAATTTAGAATTCCCGAAATATATACATATAAGAGCGGGATAGATTTTCCCAATGTTTCATCACGAAAGAAGTATAGAGAAAAATAACATGCAGTAAAAATGACAATTTTATGACATTTTGCAAGGAAACTTTACACGAGATTGTTAGTTTTTTTCTTCGACTTCAAACTCCGGTCCGTCCCGAAACGCTTTGCAATTTCTCGCGTCGGAATGCATCTCAGCGCTATCTATCGTCTATCAACGCAAACTGGCCGAAAACAGCTTGCATGGAAAAGTTTAAAATATTTTGACCGCCAAACACTAAAAGTATTTCAATAGTTAAAATATATTTTTTTATCACATCTGAATCCTTTTGCTATCCAAGCTAACTTATACAGTTTAAAACGAGAGAAACGTTCCGTTTGTGAATTTAGAAAAAGCATATAATTTCATGTGTAAAACAACATTTAAAAAAATTGTGAATCAAATTTTATAAATTGCCTCTATTTTAAGCACAAATTACGCGAAAACTACTTGTTTCTCTAAAAACTACACTTTATTATTTTTATTTTACTTAAAGAACTGATTTTATAACTCATTGTTAACTCATTTACATCAAGGAAACAATTTGTCCAGATTACCTCATCTGTCACATTTATATTTCTGTTTCCATGGCACTCAAATATTCATGAAATTGTTTAGAAAATTAATTTAATAAAACACACAGCTTCCATAAAATTTGAAAGTAATGTATGTTAATGTAACTGCAGCCAATATCTTGTACTTAAATAGAAAGGGCCTTGTTTTGTTTTATAATTACAAAAAATAAGGATTTGCAAGTTTGTTTCAAGTTAGGCAACATTATTTAAAGTTAGCTAGAATATTTTCTTACTTTCTTGACTTATATTAGACGATAACTCGACTGGTGTGAAAAATCATGAAAAAAAAATCGTTCACAAGCTTTGATATTTCATGAAGCACTCATCGGAACTTCGTCTTAAAAGAGGAAAATACCTTCACTAATCACAACCTTTTAACTGCGAAATGATGAGCACAAAATATAGCCTATCATTCACAGTTCTCACTATACATATTTTTCAGTACTTAATCTTTAAATATTTATCACTGAACACTACATGAGAGACAACTTACCTCAGTACCCGAAACAGTTCGGGCAACAAGCAGTTGAGTGTAGCTTAGAAGGGAAAAATGGCATTTGTGACGCTTTCGCTGACCGCCAGAGGGCTTACTAAAATTTCGCACTCAAAGCTTGGAAGGCCAAGGTTGCTAAGAGTGTGTACATTCTCAGAGATTCTGTCTGAAGGGTCGTGGGCTCGAGTCCCGCCTTGGGCATGATTGTCCCTAGTCTTCCATGTGTCTGTGGTCGCGAAGGGCCTCGTGTTCTTCTGACACCAGATCACAGGAGCCCACAAGTGTGTTGGTCTCATGGCCGAAAATGCTTCGGGAAGTTAGGAGGTAAATCATTCGGGAAGTTAGGAGGTCGACTAGAGCGGTCAACTCCAGGGGAAAAAATGAAATCGATTTTTCTCAGAAATTTTTCAAGCTGCGTACTGTTAAACATTTAGATGCTTCTCACTACCATTTGAAAAGCGTAATTGCAAATATCTCCCGAATATAAACATTGAAATACGAAATTAGACACTCTATTGACTATCAGAGGGATTTTAATTTGCCACAATCTAGAAATCTTCGGATTGCGTCTTCAATTTAAATAAACTTTTACGCACTTCTTCGTAAAAATTGCTTCCAAAAAATGAAAACAATTTTGGCTTCATTGTATATAATGTTCCATCTCTAAGTGAAATTAACTAACAATTAGGAAACAAAAATGATGATCCCCGATGATATCTATATCACAAACGTTTTAGAAAAGAATGTAGTCTATCGCCGACGTTCTTGAAGAAATATTAGAAAGGACAGCTGAAAAATTGAGCGACATATGTGCTCTATGTGCGTATTCATGTATGTGAATTTGTAATCATGGCGGACGATAACCCAAAAATAATGGAAAAATCTGTTTTAAAATTCCCGATAATTTCTCGAAATCTTTCAAGCTTCAAAAAAGTTACGTTTTTCTAAGCTTACAGGTTCGCTAACTACTGTGTACTTCTTAAATATTGCTCATGAATAAGGGAAGGAATTGCTGCACACGTCATAATTTTCAACAAAACATCGTTAAGTATGAGCATTTTATTGTTTTACAAACTTTCTGTTTTAATGACTCGTTGAGTAGTGATCAAGTTATTAATTCAAAATTCTTTTAGCTCCAAACGTTCGGTAAATGATTGTGATTAGTTCGTTGAACAACTCTTACTAGAGCCTGGAAGTTTGGCAAGATGTAATTTTTTATTTTTATGAGTTTATGAATTTTGTGAAATCAGTTAATTGCACTTCTGGAGTTGTTTTAACAGATTTTAATTTGTTTTGCATACTTTAGTTTAGAATGTCTATTTTTTGTATCTTGCCCCCTTTTTGTCTTTTTCTTCTTTTTTCGGCATTATTTTACTTATTTTTTCTGGCACTGATCTCTATCATGCTGGAAACATATCTTCAAGCCTGGACAACACAAAAGCACGGGCGTATTTTCTCTTTCTGTGGAACTTGAGGCTTCAGGGTCAGGTGGTGTCTACATGAGACAGGAAGAATAAACCGGTCAAGTTTTTTTGATTTTTACATTGTTGTCGTCTGTCATTGTTCACTCACGAGGGATTTCTTCCTACTTTTTAATTCGACCTCCGATCCCTTTTGATGACAGAGCTCTGATAGATCTCCAGTGCTGAAGATTGAACAACTAAGAATGAAGAAGAATGAAAACTATAATTCCGTTTTCACTGATGTCATTTCAAGATTTAAACGGGAATCCACAAAAGTACTTTATAGAGACACAGTCGCGAGTAAAACAAATTCTTCAGACCGGATGGTCGTGTGCAATCGCGATTACAAACAAATGAACATTTCCTTCCACGTACGGGCCAATGTAAATTTTAGAGTTAGATTAAAAAAGTGAATCATTGAAATTATTAATTTTGTACAATCATTCATTGTAATGGCGATTTTTCATTATCTAAATGCTACATCAAAATGAAATCTCTTTTGTATACGAGTCGCCTTTTTTTCGCAAGAAATCTTTCATAATCGGGCATTTAACGGCACAAATGGTGACGTATAAGCATTTTACGGCACGAGTGATTGCATCATCACACCTTCAGCTAATTGCAGCGAGAGAGAATCGTGGGAAGTTAAAGATAATCGGAAGAGTCGGCCATCGTTTTCTCGCACAAACGTCAAATACCCGACACGTCACCAGAAAGTCGTTTCGCAAAATTAAGTTTGATTCTCTCATAAATTTATAATGCTGTTATGCAAAAAAATAGCGTAAGCAACTCGTTTAGAATATTGCTTTATTGCATTTATTCAATTTTAAAAACTCGCTTCTAACATCGCTCGTTTCCAAAACCTGTACGCATGCATTAAAGCTTATCATTACAAACTAATTTCATAAAGTACTATTATTAACTTGTGACTGAAACTTTGTTTGGTTACGAGAAGAATGTAAAACCCTTGGATAAACCCTCAAACAGGCGCGGAACCACGGGGAGGAAAATTAAGGAAATCTCCCCCTAACATTTTTCAGTAACTATTAATTTTGACTTGTCACGAAACTTTCGAGCAAAACTATTTTCGGATAATCGTTAAAACGAGTAAAATTGTATCGCAGCATGAGTTTCATGTAGTCTGCCATATTTTACTAAATCTGTAATATGATACATTCGATCAAAATATTTTGAAGCAGTATAGCTCAGAAGGCCACAGCAAGATGGCCAAAACGTCAGCACGATTGGCCGAGACGCGGCTCATCCCGGATAGCCAACAATGACGGCCGGAGAAGCCTAAGAACGCAAAATATTTTGAAAAATCCCTCCCAAAATTCGTCTCTGAATCCGCCCCTGCCTCTGATAAACTTCATCAGTTGCACGATTGCCTATTCATGTGAAGTCTACAAACATACTTTTCTGCAGGCCTATTTTAGTTAAAATAAGTGCCTTTTGGTCTGCTATTTTAGATAAAATAAATATCTGAACTTCAACGATCGTCTTTTTATCTACCCTATTGTTCTATTTTGATGACAACGAACTAATTTATTTCCTTGGTACCCACCGGAACCGGAAATTGGAACAGCGACGAAATGGCGCCAGGTGTCATGACGGGCAAGAGGCAGTGGGGCGTTTTGCTATTACGTATAACTTAATAATAAACACGTTAATTTGAATAAGTCATTGACAATGCTAATTTACTGTATATTAAGAGTAATTACTAGAGAATCTTCAGTTGTCTACGTGTAATAATACTCGTACTCAATCTCCGCAGAAACATTTCTACTTGACATTAAATTCTTACGGACAGATATTACAATTAGAATGATGATCGTACGACAAGAAGTGATTTGGTTAACAAAAGTGTCGTCAGGATATGTAGGACATGTGTGGACCTACGAAGCGTTTGTGAGTAAAGAATCAAGGAATAATGTTAGAAATTTTATTTTGTAGTTGAAAATAATAAAATAAATAATTAGGAACATGAATAAAAATACAAATAGCAGAATTGTTAATTCAGTATCAGCTGCATTGATATGGTTTGTACCATTGAGAATATCATTAAACAACCCAGGCAAACTAACTCATTGACACTGAGCAGACAACAATCTCGTGTGTAATTTCAAGAGGATGGACCGCATAATAAGAGTTTGTATTAACTTGTGACTGAAGTTTTTTAGATTATGATAAGAATGTTTAATCCTTCTTGGATACTCAGCTGAACTTTTATCCATTGCGCGATTGCTTATTCACATGAAGTCTACAAACGTTCCACGCACTTTTAAATAGTAAAGTACATTAAGTAGTGTAGACCTATTTAATTATTAATATCACACATTTGAATACGACTTATCATTTTTATTAATTCAGTATTTCATTCTGTTCTATAATATTACTGTATTTATTGTTACTTTTATAAAAATTGAAAGTACGAGATTCTAAGAAAAAGTATTTTGAGAACTGTTGATAAAATATATTTTATTTCAAAAGACCATTCTCGTTTTCGCCGTTACACCAAACGAGAGCCCGGTAGCTTCTTGGACTTTGACCAAAATCTACATCATTATACGATTGTGTATCTCTTGACACTTTTAAGAAGTGACGCATGTGCTTAATTGATCAATGCAAATGAGAGGGATGAATTGAAACAGTCCTTCCTCATTCTAGAAGGTTCGATTCATAACAATCGATAGGTTCATTCTATCAATAATTATGCTGAAGCCCGCATTTGAAACGTATGTCTTAGACCTTCAACCCCTAAACAGAGGCTGGGGTGACTGTTTCGTTGACTTGTAATCCCACAGACGTGGTTGTTATCAATGTCTGCAGACTTTGATGTCGTGTTGTCACAGTTGCCTACACATAAGAAACAAATAGTGAAATTAATTTTAAGCATCTTAAAACAATCTTATTTTGGGACATCTGTGATAATATTATCAAAATAATGGAGTCGTTTGAAGCTTAGAGCGAGATAAATTATTTAATGGCATGTGTTGATATGGCGTTAACATTTCATTGCGTCGCTGAAATTTGTACAACATTTTTCTGGAAATAATTACATTTACAAATTCTAGGTCCTTGAAAAAATACCAGAATCTGTTAAATGAAAATAAAGTATCTGCAGGTGTAATTTTCTTAACACATTTTAGTGAAATAAAATACTGACATTTAACAGAAAGAATATTGGATATGATGAAGAGCAAGAAGAAAGAAATATAAACATTATTCCAGTAGTTTTGGTAGGGATGCAAGCGTTTTCAGGATGATCGCTCAATACTTCTGTTTCCTGAGGCAGTTCATAAACGTCTGCAATATCTTAAAAAATGTGTACAGCCATATGTCATGTTAACACGTATTTAGATGCACTTTTCAACTACCACGATATTAATGTTGGGACTGCGACATATGCTTTAAATTAATTTACTTTCACCATAAATTATTTTTAGGACGTTGGTAATAGTTATTTATGGTACGCGAGAGTAAATAAAGATTTAATTCTGTAGTGAGAAAGTTTGAAGGACCGACAGAGGGGCAAAGCGGCTAACCTCATGAGTGGATAAACTTTTTTCCCCTCGCGTGCCATGAAGTATTTGATTCATTATCATCACCGGTCGGTTGCGAATTAGGAAGGCGAGATGCGTATTTAAACAATCACGTTTTGTCTCTTCAAAATATTTCTTGAACAAGGGCAAACAAAAGCATTCAGGACACGAACGGTTTGGAAGCAACGGAAACTTAATCCCTTGTGTACAACACAACTTTGACGTTGACAACGGAAGATACAATTGCATTTAACGAAAATAGATTTTTTAAATATTTGCAAGAATCAAAACAGTAATATATGAAATTAAATTACCGGGTGAACATTCTTGGTTTAGTTCATAGGCATATTAGCTCTGCCGAAAGGTACTCTAATAGCAGCACGCTGCCTCCACCCATCTCTCAGTAACCCATTTCTTCCTCGTGCTTCCATTGCCTAGCATGCACCAGCTACGGACTATGCACCAAGCAACAGTCCGTGATGCAGCTCATTCTAAAAACATTGAACATTCGCTTAAGCGGACTCATGAAATTAAATTCGCCCTCAAAACTCACACTGATGGCATGCACAAATTAAACTAATGATTTAGTGCAATTTCAATTGTTTTTCTGTCAGACGTTTTACTAATTACCCTGACATTGATTTTTCTTGATAGGTCACCACTCTCAAGTCCTTGAGGAGCAGTCGCCACTGTTTACCACGATTTAAAGGAATACGATCAAGTTTAAATGAAATATCGAGACACTAGGAAAAGTGTTTTCCAGCCGAACATTCAATGAAAAATTAACCCACTCCCCGCGCATTTAAATTCTCCCTAAACCACCTCCCTACATGGTGAGCGCTTCATGGTTAGTTGATTTTAGCTCCCCCCCCGCCCCTAGCTAATCGTAAGGAATGGGGATCCTATAAACGATAGGCCTGCTCAAGCTTTCAAACTCTTCAACCTCTCTCGGTGGTCTGGAAGCTTCAGAATCACCGCAAAAGTTATGATATTAATTTATTATGATAACATGTAATTGAACTAGTCTTTGTTTAAATGAATGAAATTAATAAATATATTTAATAATGTGTCTGACATTCTAGAGTGGTTTCTTTTTCACTAGAGATAACTTTCCCGCGAAGTTAATCGAATATCAAGGCTAAATCTCATATGTGATTAAAAATCTTACATTATTATACCACACATTTCCACTACAATAAAATTGGACATGCATGAATTATTAAGGTCTTCGCCTTTTAAGCTTATTGCATTTTGAACATAATGCATTTTTTAAAGTAAAGTGTGAACATAAAAGTAAATATTCCAAGTATAAACATCAAAATAGTTTATTGAGGAAGATTCTTCCAAACACAGTAATGTAAGGGAATCATTTACGTATTCCTACATATGCGACAAAATTCAACACTTCCAGACATTTTTGAAAGCATAATTTTCATTGCTATGCGTATATCTGCAGCTGGATGTAAATGTAGTAAGCTACCATTATTGTATTGTGTTTGTGAGGACAAGGCAAAGGATGGACATGAATGGGATTGGCGAACATTGAAAGTGAAAGAGATCATATGAAATGGAAAAAAAAAAGAATTCCAGCAAGAATTTCGTATTACGTCCGGGCATGACCTATGTGCACGCACCTTGAGAACTTCACGGTGAGCTGCCGTTCTCGTTGCTGGGCGCGGGAGCGGAAGAAGGGGCGCCGGTGACTGCGGCGGCGGGGGCGGCGGGGGCGGGGGCTCGTGGCGGTCGGCGGGCGTCTGTGGAGAGCACCGAGAGGGGCAGCCTCCAGTGTGCAGGTAGCTGGCGAGGAGAGTGGGACGCTGCTTGCGTGAGCGACTGTCGGCTCCACCGCGCGGCCCACGCCCCGGCACCCAGCCTGTACTGCGTAGGAACATTCGCACTAGCGACCAGAGCGTGCTGCTGCGCCCGCAGACCACCGGGGGTGACGCCACCCCAGCCGTCTTATTCGCGCCCGTCCGAGCGCCAGCAGCCGCCTGCGCACAGCCACAGCTCGCGCACGCGCCGCCGCAGCAGCTTTAGCACCTGCACAGCAAAATATGAAACTTCATTTATTTAACTTTAGTCCAAACATCAGATTTGCGAAAAGGGTGACGTAAATATCTTTATTTTACAATTAAGTATTTCAAGATTAAACTCTATTATATCTTACATCTTAAAAAATATTAAGAAAAGGTAAAAAAAATTATTAAAATAAAGTTTGTTCACCTGCGAAGCCTCACATCCACGCGTCACACAAAGTTATAGCTTAGGTTTATTTACCTCTAGTTAAAATATAATGATAATGGTATGGTGATGTAAACATTTTTATTTTACAATTAAGAACAATATTTCAAGATTAAACTGCATAAAATCTTACATATTTAAAAAAATTTAGGAAAAGTTAAAATAGTTTTAAAAATAAAGTTTGCATACCTGCGAAGCCACACACTCACGCGTCACACAAAGTTAATATTGGGAGTGCATATCAAGTTTGAATATAAATTTGAATTCAACAGGTTTCAAAATTTCGTACATTTTAATGAAAATAGAAAATATACCATTTTTGTAAATGCATTCTTGTATTCCCGATAAAAAAATTAAAGACACAAATTGAAGTCGTTTTCCAGAAAATTTTGAAAATGCCACAGTGGCTTCATGTGAAATGCCTCCAAATTAAAATATCTTTATGATCTATGGAACGGCACAACTGGGCCACTCCTGACGTATTTACCAAGTTTCGGCTCAAAAGCTTCTAATCTGTCAGTTGTGTGTGAAACTTCCATCCATGTCATATTGTTACGAATCTACTACCCAATATTTCCTCAACAGCGTATGCACACATAAGTGCCCCCGATCGTTTGTACCTTCAATAAATTCAGTTGTACTACCAATCACCAAACCTCGCTGCTCGTTGGCCTCCGCCTTGGTGTAGTTTAAATAATAACACCAAGTTCAAACACGAAGCAAATATATTAATTGTGAAATTATACATCCAGAATCAATCGTTAAACATTACCTTCTCAACTTCCGCAGATATCGTGTTCTTTTCTTCTGAACACCGCCCATTAAATTGCTAAAGCACCTTCTCCAAAGTTTCGTCAAACGTCCAATATCCTGAAGTCGCTACTAATCGGGTTTGACAACCAGAATGTCTCTGTAATATTTCTGGCCTACATTCAAGTGTCAATCCTCTCGCCAACTCTATCCAGTCTTCCTCAACAAACTTGCGTCCATTACAACCGCCGCTACATCCCTCAATTGTTCTTTTACCGCGAGTTCTTACAACTCGTACAAATTTATAATCACATATCGTAACATGTATGTTAAAAGTAAAAATTTCATCCACCTGTGACTTTAGCTAGACGGTGTGTTTAAGTGTCTGTTTCCAGAGTTATACTTCCTTTCCTCACCTTCGGTTTGCAGCAGAAGAGCACGAAGATGAAGAGGCCCCGCAGGAGGTTGATGGCGTCGGTGACGTACCAGTAGACGCCGTCGGAGCCCTCGGCCCACGAGATAATCTCCGTTATCCACGTCACGCCCATCAGGCAGAACAGCTTCAGGTACAGCATCAGCCTGCGCACCGATTAGCACCATCAGGAACTTGATTCTACTGAGCCTACCGGTTGACCTACTTACAAAGTGTTTACTGTTGACGGCCTTGCCGAACTTTTTTCTGATATTGAATTTTTTTATAATTTAAACGTATATAATAATACGTGGACAACTAATACATTTTTTTACTCGCTTAACTAGCAATGATTGGAATACTCATTAACACTTTTCCTTATTACATATATGAACAGTAACAATTCAAAATTTGTAAGGCGAGTCCAGTAGCTTGAATTTTTAAGACATTTTATTTTTAAACTGTTATTTATTAGATTAAAGACTAATATCGCTACCTAATTTTTGAACATACATACATTATAATTATGTCATCAACTCGTGACATTTTAAAATCAGTAAATATTAACAATGTCTCTTAAATTTCAAACTGAAATCTTTTTGAAATGAGAAATGGATGATTTGGATGAAGAATTTACAACTGGGGCTTCAATGAAAACCGGCAATAGGAGAGAATAGGGGGTTTTTACATGACGACGTGTCACAGTAACTAATAGGCACTATCGATCTTCTGGACATATCGAGTTCGAGTTTCACATCATATTTGAGCATATGTGCATGAGCAGTGTCTTTTTTCTTGCACTTTACAAGATTACAAATGCATACGTCATTATTTTACAAAACATAATATTCAAACAATTTTGACAATACTGTTTGAATACTATGTTTTATAAAATAATTGTGTGTGTATTTTTAATCTTGTATTTAGCTTCCAATTGTACCAGAAGATAAAAACACAAATTTATCTCCGAAACGTTGTAAATTTGAAGAAATAAAACACAATCTGTTGTTATAAACTTTATTAAGTGTGGAAAGAATAGAAAAAACCCTGATCGCCTAAAATTTATAAATTAGAATCTTTACGATTAATGGAATAAGACGCGCTGTGAAGTTTCGCGGCGCGACTCACCGTTTGCGGTCCCCGCGCAGCGCGCTGCCGCCGCCGCCCGCGCCGCCGCCCCCGCCGTCGTGCCTGCCGCTGTCGCCGCCGCTCAGCACGGCCGTCTCGCGCTGCACGCGCACGATGCGCGCCGTCGTGTACGCGAACAGCGCCACGTTCGCCAGCAGCAGCGCCGCCATCGGCCCGTAGAAGTACGCCAACGTCGCCATCTTGCCTGCGCACGAGCACGTTAGGATTATAAGCGTGCGACGCGACAACAAAACATCGATGTTCAAAATTAAAAGGTCGATGTTAATAAAGCATCGCCCCAAAACCGTCATTTTTTGAAAATCTTCAAAATCACTTTTATTTACCCTAAATATTCGCGAAAAGAAGTGATTTGACTGTGGTCGCGTTTATTAACTTTTTAATTGAGATATAACAGGCAAAACAAAATTTAAAAAAATGATCACGACAATTAACAACAGACGAACTGTCTGATTCAAAAATTCCAAAATAATATGTACTGCATGTATCGGCGAACCTATATTTAAACTATTTTTCAACCTTGCTCACTTTGGTCAGAAGAATAGACCATTTGTCGATCTCACACAATTATTACACGTTTTTATTATGATGGTACTTTTTTCAATCACAAATAAAATATGAACTACGTTTAAAAAAAGGATGTTAATATGTCGACCATTCTATAAAAACATCGATATTTTGAAAACATCGTCATCGATGTTGCTTTCCTGGTCAGGATCATTTCGCGGAACCCATGGAGGGGAGGATAAAGAGTAAAATAGTGCGGCGAAAAAATGATGTACCATAGTTTTTGCGCGTCAGTAATCTTTGAGAGGCCTTTTACTAACATTTACTAACATACTACTTTACTTACATGCATCTGATTTTCTGTAATTTTTTGAAGATTTGATTACAAAGGAAAGAGCTGTTGCTGCAACAATTTTTCGACCAGTATATTATGTAAATGTTATATGCTTCGTCCTGTTGGTAGATTGGTTGCTAGGGTTGATAAAATTCTGAAAAGCAGTGCAGAGCACAACCGTAGACATGTGTTGTTCTCTTATTACATATCAATAATACGAATTTCGTACGAACGAAATCATAGGGGAAATCTTAGGCAAACTTTTTTTAATTCGTTACCTAGCTAGAAGTCTAAGGTTTTGCTTACACGTTGATTCACGAATTCAGAAAAAAATTACGTAATATGATACACCCAAAAACACCGGAATCGCCGGCCCGGTTGGCCGAGATCGTTAAGGCAGTAGTGCCGTAGCGATCTCGGACCAAAGGATCGCGGCTTCGAGTCCCGTCTCCGCATCATCCTCGGGCATGGTTGTATTTGGGTTCGTCTTTTCAACCCCTATCATCACCATATTATATCATATTCATAGTTACCATACCGTTAAATGCAACAGTAGTCGCTAATGACCTAGATGTTACTGCAAGATGATGATAATATTAATAATAATAATAATAGCTAGATAATAAGCAAAAAAAGAGAAGGAAAAGCACAAGAAGTGACGTGGACTCACTGTAAAACCAGCAGGTGCGTTTGCCGAAGTTGGGGCGCAGCAGGTGCTCTGGCAGCCCTTGGGCGAACTCGAGCAGAGCGGTGACGGCGCTGATGACGGCCGGGCTGCCCCACGCGTACGCAGAGTAGTAGAGGAACTTGCGCCGGTCGCGCTCCGAGATGCTGCCCTGCATGGCCCGGTACCCGCTGCCCACACACAATTAGGTAACTAAGAGGGTTGCCTTTTATATTTCAGGATTAAAGAACAAAAACAAATATTAATAATCGAAAATCGCTTTATTGTTTTTCAAAATATTCCCTATGAAGATCTATACACTTTTGCATGCGTTTGAACCAATTGTCGAAGCACTTTTGCCACTCTGATTGAGGTATCTCCAAAACATGCATTCTGAATGCAGCAACCGCTGTGAGGGCAGTTCAGGCAGATGGGCAGAGTAGGCAGGCAGTGAAGGGCGAGAAAGCAGGGTGGGCTGGCGGTCAGAACAGGCAGCTGAGCAAAGTGAGCGGTCAGGGCGAGCGAGAGGACAGGGCGAGCGGGCGTGGTGAGCGGGCGTGGTGAGCGGGCGTGGTGAGCGGGCGTGGTGAGCGGGCGTGGTGAGCGGGCGAGCGGGTTGACGGGCGGGCTGGCAGATACGCATGCAAGCTGGGAGGGGAAATTTATGGGCGGTCGGAACCCAAATATACATACAGAAACAAATGTTTTTCGATCCTAAACCGTTCGATCCTGGTTACCTTTATCAAAAATTGAGGCAGGTTCATCCACCACCATTGAGATAGAAATTCACAAAGGGATCAGAAAAGCAAAACGAAAGAAACAAATTTAAATATTTATTTTAAAATAATATATATAATATTAATGTGAATAAGAAACAATAATCAAAACATAAAATGAGAATGTTAAAAAATGAAAAATGTTGGCTGTTCTTAATTAATACACCATTTTAATTTGTTAGGCAATGTTGGCAGAGTTTTTTTAATAACCAGTCGTTTCTCCGCAGATGTGACGTCTTAGAAACGCCGAGAAGCTCTGTAAGAACCTGTTTATGTCTTAAAAGTAAATATTTGTCTACTGTCCAGAGTAAGCATTCAGAAAAAGTGCGGCGTTTGACTAAAGCAAAACTTTACTTCTGATGTTTACAGTCAGCGGCCTTTCTGAAGCTTGGCCCAAAGGATATTTAAACAACTGAGAACTGAAGGTCTTCAGAGACAACTTAATGAAGTGAATGTAAGTTCGGCAATTCTATCACACCTCAACAAACTCCTATTATTCTAGTAATCTGTTGAAGTTTAGTCTTGGCGTCGTTTCTACTCAAGAGATTGTAAACAAATTATGATCGAATTTTTTTCTCCTGTGTGAAAATTAACGCATGCTATACACTGAGCTAGAAGAGCTTGATTATCGATTTCAATTATATGATTTGTAATGTATATGACCAAAAGACCAATGTTTTTGAGTAATTTAGTTCCTGTTCCCGTTATTTAATTAGAGAGATAATAGGTAAATTAGATTAGTGAGAAATATAGATAGATAGATAGATAGATAGATAGATAGACGATGGGAAAGGTATTCGAGGGCCTCATTCTGGAAAGACTCCAGACATGACCAGAAGAAACAAATGGTCTGTCGGAAATGCAATATGGCTTTCGAAAAGGTAGATTGACAGTCGATGCTATCAAAACAGTCGTTGAAAAGCCAAGAGAAGCCAAAGAGGGAGCAAAAAAAAAGAATTCTGTGCCCTCGTAACGCTCGATATCAGGAGCGCCTTTAACTCGGCCAAATGGAAGGAGATTATCAATTCTATGGTAGACAAGAAAAACCCAGAGTACCTCACCAGTATGATAAGAAGCTACTTAAGCAACCGAAAGACAATTTATGAAGGTGAAGGAGAACCTATTGAAATCAAGATGACCTGTGGTGTCCCACAAGGTTCGAAACTTGGTCCTGTCTTATGGAATATTATGTACGACAGCCTACTGAGCATAAAACTCCCTTAAAAATGTCTCAATAGTGGGCTTCGCTGACTATGCAATAATAGTGGCAACGGCGGAAACATCGGCCCTACTAGAGGTCATCGTGAACGACACCCTGCGAAAAGTGATAAGATGACACCCAAAGGGCTGGAAGTGGCAGCCCATAAAACGGAAGCATTACTTATCACCGACGGACTATCCTACTCCAACCCAACATTCTTAATAGGCAAGGAAAAAATACAATGTCGCCAGGGCCTTCGCTACCTAGGAATGGAAATTGACAGGAAGCTAAGTTTTGGACCACACGTTACCGAGACGACTTAAAAAGCCATAAGAATAGCAGCATCGCTTTCAAGATTGATGCCGAACACCAGGAGCCCCAGCGAGAAGACGAGACGAATTCTTATGAGTGTGATGCACTCGAAAATGCTCTATGAAGCCCTGATCTGGGCAGAAGCTCTTCAAAACAAGAATTTGAGAAGGAAAATGCAGTCTGTCCTGAGGAAAGGAGCTCTAAGCATAACATCGGCGTATAGAACTGTATACGGAAGTGCTGTTCTTCTGCTGGTCGTCCCTCCTATTGGCCTGTTTGCTCTAGAAAGGAAAGACGTTTTCGACTACTCCCATGAGCAAGAAGGCAACGGAAGGCGAACGCACCAAGATAGGGATAGCGTAATTAAAAAAGCTAAAGAAAACGTGATGCACCGCTGGCAGAAACGCTGGGACAGAGAGGAGAGCAGCAGATGGACTCATAGGCACATCGCGAATGTATCCAAATGGATAAGTCGCAAACACGGGTCCGTGACCCACCATTTATCTCAGGCATTCACAGGGCATGGATGTTTTAAGGCATACCTTAAAACGGGAAGGCAGAAGACGCGATATGCTTCTACTGCAGCCATGAAGTGGACGACGCCGAACATACGCTGTTCCATTGTCCGAAATGGGACACGCTAAGGCATCGCATGATATGGGAAGTCGGGTGTAATACCTCACCAGAAAACTTTTTCACTAATGATCTGTAACAAGGAGAAGTAGACAGCAATAGAGAAATATATCACCGCCATTCTCAAGAAGATGGACGAAGACGAAAGAAACCAGTCATAGCTGAACCTGAATAGCACCTCAAAGTAATACAGCTGGCACCATCCAGAAGTAAGGCATAGCTGCGGTTCCAGGGTGGATAACGCCAGGAACATAAAGGGTTTGTGGTTTTAGTGGGTAAAAATATCACACTGATGAGGAGAGCAGGCTCCTCTTCGTCTTTTGAAGATTTACACAGTTCCCCTCGTAAAAAAAGATTATTAGAAATTATTAAAGATTAAAAGAAATTATAATAAATAAATTGATCACCTTTAAAATTTCCATGGCCTCTTTTACATATCATTTCAATATTTCTCTTGAATTAATTTTTTTTCTATGAATTATGAATTAACAGCTATCAAGACATGGCTGGCGGCTCACTTACTTTTACATTAAAAAATACTAGATCAATAATTGTCGGGCTATTAAAATCCACTTACGTCGTCTCTTTTACAAATTGATTCAGCCTTAATACTTTAAAGTTATTAAATAACTTCCTCGTGTCTTAACTTTCTCTTAAACTTTCTCTTTTAAATGAAATAATTAATTGCAATAAAAACTTTCTCTTTGTTTGTCATAACCAATAAATTTCTATCAAATGCTTTTGGAGAATTCTAGCAATTAGTGGTTTTAAGTAGAACGCATCTTAAAACACGTATCTCATGGTTCTGAAAATTCCAGGGTAACCGATTTCAACGGATTAGGGCAATTTGACTCTCCTAGTGAACATAGGTATAATGTAGTCGGAAGCATGAAGATTGTAGTTAGTAGTCTGATGGGGAATTCGGGAATACCCCGGAAACAATCGAAACTCATAAAGCCAGCCCAATGTCCTAGACCTATCAGCTGATAAGTCTGCACCTTTGTTTTCCAAAATGTGTCTATTAGTGATCCTGGAAGTCTCTTCGAATGAACTGACCATCTCGTGTTGCAGTCATTCTTATTTTTTCAGTCTTCAAATACTATAGATTACTAGCCGAATTACGCCTCGACGCAGACTTTCAGCTAGGCATGCGACATCGACTTCGATGTTTTCAACATGGTTTAAACATCAATGTATTAACACAGATGCTTTATTAACAGCGATGATTTGTGATCGATGTTTTTTTTACTTTTCGGTGTTTTCTTTTTGAAAGAATTATGTGCAAGATCACAATAATGTAAAAGTTAAAATACGAAATATCACTGTTATTCATGTGTTGAAACCAAAGGAATGCTGGTTGCATTACCTACAACGACCACCTACTACTACCGACTCTCTAGTCCGAGATGACCTCCACGCCATTGTATCTTTCCTCTTCATATTCATTTTTGAACATTGAGATATGGCCAACAAGTACGCTGTGAGTGTAGAGTCGGCACCTTCTTATCATACTCTTATCTGGCAAATTCATAAACTCTAACACTGTAAAATTAAATTTTATTGCACACGAATTTAATGTTAGAGCGTACTAACTGAGTGTTAAATCATCGATGCTGAGAAACATCCATGGTTTTTCGACGATGTATTTTTAATATCGATGTTGTAATGTTGAATATTGATGTTTACTAACATCGATGTGTTGTTATCGATGTCACATCACTACTTCCAGCTCCGTTATCACCCCTACATGGTTGTTCTCCTGCCATCGCCCCCTCTCTGTCATTGTTTAAATGATACAGTTCGAATAAGTTCAAAGCTTTTTGTATTAAGATTTTGTTATTGGAAAATAATGTCAAACACATGAATTGCTCGGAAGCAATTGAGCTGAGAATAAAGTTTCCTTCTTGCAGAGATTTCGTGAAATGTTTGGCATTTGGTTGGGTCGGCTGTAGGCCGCGTCATTTCTAACCAAACTTCATTTAGCATTTAACAGAAACGTGAGAAGGAAATACAACGGACCATGAGGTTAAGCTACTGCACTTCCCGCCGGATGTCTTTGTTAGGCATGAGTGATATCGTTTGATGATTACAGTGTAAAGAAGGCAAATTATTTATCGATAAATTCATAATTGCTCTGCTCTAGAAACTTTGCCTCCGGCTTGGTTGCTTGTCTTATCTTCTAAGTAACATTAAAGAAGGTGACGGAGAAAAGAAAACGATGAAGGAAATAATACCGTAACGGAATTATAAAGAAATTTCTACCACTCGTGATCCTGATGAAATTGTCCATGACAAAGATTTTGCTTTGGATATTATAACTTGAAAAAAAAACGTAAAGGGAAATTTTAAAAAAAGCTCAAAAATATATTTTGATAGGAAAGATATTTGTAAATCAGATTTTAAAATAAAACCTAATTTATTTTCTCAGCGTCTACTTAGAAGTAGTATTTTTCAAAGTAGATGGTGTAATTTTACTTTATTTATATCGGTTTGTATAGTTCTGATAATTTCGAGTCATTTCCAAATTTAAAAAAAAAGTTAATTGAATTGTTTTTGAATTTTAATTGAGGGCATTGCGAAGATGCCGCCTGTTCCATATATTAAGTATCGAACCTCATTAATAAATAGGGCTCTGATTCTGATGTTCTAAAAAAATCTTTGAAAATTACTTAAAAATTAGGATAAAACGACATCACTTTTTAAAAAATGCTAAAAAAATTGTATGACAATGTTTATTTACTTAATAAATTTTTCATTTTTAAATAGAAGTTATTTATATAAAATTATTTAGTATAGTCTTTATTTTAGGAGGAAATATAATCCTTAGCTCCGATCTTCCAACGACATTTTAGAAACGCCAACGATGTTACTGAAGATCCGAGTAACTTTCCGAGTTCGGAAAACAGTCCACTGCATTAGTGAATTTCATCATGAACTGATGATATAATAAAAACTTTGCCCTAGTGAGTCATTGAAAATTCATTAAACATGCACTAGCAAGAAACAGGGAAAGGAAACAAAGTACATAAAAATGACAAAAATGACGCAAAAGCCCCCAAAAAATACCTAAAGAAAGAAAAATGGCAAAAAATGACCCAATAATTTTGCATTTCTATCACCCAAACGTCGTGGTAAACATTCATTTACAAGTTAGCTACGTCTAGAATTCACCAATGAAAAGATGGCCTGACATCAGAATCCGAACCCTGTCAATAAATAAAGAAGGAGCGTAATAAAACCCTCATGTCGAGCGAAGGCTGTCTCCCGCGGCGCTTGAGGTCACGGTCCCGGCCTGGCTGCGAGGGCGAGGCGCCGCAGCGGCGTTGTGCGAAAAGGAGTGGGCGGGGCGGGGGCGGGCGGCAAGGTCGGTGGGGCTTGGTGGGGCGGGGCGGGGTGGCGCGTGGGAGACGGCCGCGGGGGACGAAATTCGAGTAGCGTGGCCGTGCCCCCAGCAGCCGGTGGCCGCCCGGCGCGGTGCTATATTCTAGGCGTGCGCGGTGGCAAAGTGGCGCGCCGGACCGTTGGGGACAACAGCCCGCGTCAAACACTTCCCAGCAAAATGGGAAAATAATTATTTTTAAATTAAGTGCGCGAAAGGTTTGTTTTCAGCACGATAGTGTGATTGAGTTTTTTTGCCCAGATCGATAGCTAGAGAAAAAAAGGGAGATTGTGCAAGAAACTATCAGTTTCCTCACGAAGTATAAACATTTTTTCTAAGATTTTAAAATATCCTGCTATTACGAATATTTATTAATTTAATCTCCTCTGAGTTTATTCGACCCTACAACTCATTGCTTTTAATACACCAGTAATTTGGACTTGTTAGTGTCAACTATTCCTATAACAGGCTTCTCTTCGCAGGGTTATAAAGAATGTAATATACATTATGCACAGATTGCTGCAAACGGCCCTCCTACACTTCCACTTCTTCCCGCGCACTAATGAATAGCAGAAAACATCAGCCATGGGAACGAACACTCACCTAAAGGCCCACGCTATGTCGATGCACATGGCATTCAGCCAGAAGAATGCTGCCAGGAAGGAGAACTGCACGATGAATGCTGCAACAGAAACAACGACATCCATCAAGCATTAAGCATTCGAATACTCGAAGCTCCCGAATTCTAAAAGGGATTAAAATACCTTAACACTTAAGAAAGTCTTAACTAAGTGCAATTGAACACATTCAAAAGTTCGAAACATATACCACATACATTAGAGATGGATGGTGTTGGATAATATAAACATTTTACTAGAACGATTTTATTCGAGACATTTTAAGAATTTTAAAACCACTACAGTAAAACCATTGAAAATGTGCATTCCAGTAAATTAAAATTTATGTAATTAAGAAGCTTTCTATTCACGTTAGGGATAGAGTAGAGGTTTAGTCTGACACAATCGGATCTTTTGAGCCAACTCTTTGGACTACTGCATCCTCATAATTCCTTTTTGTCAATCATTATTCGCCTCCTTACATTCACAATTTAATGTGACTGCGAGACTCCCTTTGGAGTATCTTTGTTCAAGTGATACATTTATTAATATTATGATAAATGAGGTGAAAATTGCGTTATGTTAATAATAAGTTTTTTATGGTACGATTGGTAGAAATATGAGAACTGGAAAGGTTGCGAACTTGGATGATAGGTGGAGTAAAATAAAGTTACTTTAACCACGTGTGTTGTACAGCATACTATGTTTTACATACTTACTGACATGCATTTTATTTTAATTTAAGTATACAAATCGCTTAATGTGGAATTACATTATATTAATTAAGGTTCAATTTTATCTGAACAATTGAGCATCATTTTACTTTTTGCACTAATACTAAAAATTCAACTTTAGCCGGTCGTGCCTGCTCTAAAAGAATCGCTTTTAATAGTGGTGTTCTACAAGTATTGTTTTCATGAAGGGGCGCTAACAGAGAATATTAATAGAACATTAAAACACAACTGTAAGTACAACTTATTATATTAATTAATTCCCAACGGCTTGAAGAGATTTAATACAAAATTAAACACATACAATCATTTGATATAAAAGTTATAAAACTTGTTTCGTTGGCAACTATTTGCGAAACCAGTGGCAAAACATGTTGTGAATAAGCAAATAATAATAATAATAATAATAATAATAATAATAATAATAATAATAATAATGAACAATGTGTTCGTTCCTCGTAGATTAAGACCTAACATCACACACAGAATAATTTCCCTTCTTTGTGAGTGTATCTTTGTCGGAGATACACCAAAAATCAAACTCCGTACTGTGCCGAATAGATGGAATTAATAATTTATGTGTTTCATGATGGGCATGCTATCCTGTTACGTGAGCAATAAGTTAGTGAAAGATAACCCCATGGTGCAGAGCTATGAACGGAAACCACCCGATGGCCAAGAAAATAAATTACTCTCTTTATTTGGTGTAGGATTATTAAGAATATGACGTGGAGCTGTTTTTAATACAAAAACATTCTCTGACATGAATTGGGAAAAGCACTTGGTCGTTTTTATCCTCGTTAAGACTCCTTAATGTGCGTGAAAAAGGATGTCACGTAAGTGATGGAGAACGCGCGTATACCCGTCTCACCGTGCAGAAGTAGCACCGACTTACTTTTCTTTAACCATTGTGCAAGTCATGGCCTGCAGAAAGATACAAAGAACAATTCGAAAAAGTTCCTGGAGCGTCGGGGATTTCCAATGGTCTCTCTTTCACCATTAAGAGTTCTTAATTGTCAGGATAGATTGGAATTTGCAGAACACGTGGATGGTTGTCCTGAAGATGCAATTATCAGATTAGTTGCATTGGCTAACGGTCAACATTATATTCTAGTTGTGTTAAAGTAAGTAAAGTAGGGGATGAAATTGCATTTGACAAATGTTTACAACCCAGATATATAAGTATAATTAGATCGAACGAGGAAATTATTTAGACTAAAAACATTTAAGCGGTCAAGGAAACGAAGAAAAATTGCTTTGAAATCAAAGAGTACACAGACTGTACAATGAATAAATAAAAAAAATACAACGTCGGAATACCGATATGATTCATAACGAATTTACGCACAGATTAAAAACAACTGAGTACGACTCTGCCACTCCGATTTCATAAGTCGCGAAAAATTACGCATCGCAAATTAAATAAACTATTATGTTTCTTATTCCCTCCTGAAATTAAAAGGAAGTATTAGAAATTTACTAGGACCAATTTTTCTGGTAATGTTTCTGACAAAGTGTAAATGAGTAAAGAACTAAATATTGCATTTTACTTTCTCGTCTTGTTTCTTAAGAAGAGAAAATATTGTAATCGAGCGCCAGAAAACTGCGAATTTCGACAGAATAACACTCATTACGGGGCCCTGCAAACGAAAATGTGGTTAAATCTTGTTTCTTTACATAGTTTACTTCCTCTAACACACTTTTTTAGACTTAGTGTTGTGAAAATCCATGTTTTGTGGATTCTTTGTGGCATCTTTAGCGTCTAATGCGTAATTTTGCTTGAAATATAGGTAATTTTTAAATTATTATTTTCTAAACAACGGCTGCAATTTTTTCTTTAAATTTTCTCCTCGTATAAAATCTGGTATTGCTCCCATTTTACGAGAACATTTTGTATTTTTGACTATTGAAAAATATTAAGAATGCAAAAGTACAACATTAAAGGTAGAGATTTCTGTGTCAAATGAAAAAATCAGATCCTTAAAAATGCCGAATACAATTGTTTGAAAATCCGAGTAGTTTTTGAGTAATTTCTAACTGAAAATAAAACAATTTATAAAAAAGTTTTCTCAAAAACAGCTCCAAATCTGTTCTCTATTTTTTTCCTCCACTGATAGAACAAGGTGCGCTTAAGAGAATGGGGTAGGCCTCTTTTTCGTTGAACTTTCAGAATTTGACGTTAGAAGTAATTTGAAAAATTATCTGCTGTGGTAGCAACACTAGTTTATTTAGTCATTCGAGCTTCGTTTTCTTTACAAGGTTTGTTTCTAAGAGAATTAAGCATTGTAAATTCTCTGAATCATTACTCTGTACATAACAGTACTATTTGATCTTCAGAAAGATCGTTTGCGAAATTCCAAGAAGAAGAAGAAAAATTTTGGTAGCTAGTACACTATATGATAGCTCAATATTATGGTCGAAATGTGTAATAACCCTGACGCAATCCCGGCCTCAGCGTGCACTGGCGAAACAGCCTGCCGTCGACTTTCGCTAGCGAGAAGAGCGCGGGCACTTCGTTCCCCACATCCTGCGAGTGACGTGGCGCGGGGTTCCCAAGTGGGCGTCGTTCTTTTTCGCGCGGAGGCGCGAGGTGCTTCGGGGATACACTCCCTCGTGGATTCACACCGGCTGAATCACCTTTTGTGTACTTGAACTGATTCAACCACAAGTGGAACTCTTAGATAACTTGACCCAAGCAAGCAAGAGGCCCAACTGACATCTGTAACAAGTGAGTGCCAATTAATCTTATTATATAACCTTTATCTTGAAACTCTATATCATATAATACACATTAAGACCTCTATATGACATGTTTAGTAATGCATTGATCCAGTCCTAAACTGAAGAATATTACGAGTGTCTATTTCGATCTATATTTTCTCATTATATTGCAATAAAATTTATTGGAGTTTGAAGGCACAAATCGTTAAAAAACTGCAGGCAGTTAACTTATTTTACCATAAACCGAAATTATTTACACGAACATAAACACAACATATTTGAAAAATATTATACCTTGCAAATGACATTTCATTATAATATAGGGATTGTTGTTAGTTATTGACATGAAATGTAATGTGTTGTCATTTACAATGAAATAATTATATGAGTCATTGCCAACAATATTGTTTATTACAAGACCAACTTTCTATGGCTTAGTCATCTTTATTAGTTTTCTTCTGTATTTAGCGACAAAACTACTACGTCGTCGTTTCGACTACGTCGTGGTCCTTTGGGGCTTTCATACAGCAGAAATCTGATGATGATGGCTAAGCCATCAAACGCTGCTATTGTAATAAATAATAAACAATATTGTTGGTAATGACGACTCATATAATTATTTCACTTCATTATAAATTCAGAGTGATTCAGGAAATCAGATCTTTGCCAAGGGAGGGGCTTCCCACAGCTCACTCTTGTCGCCCTCGCATTTGCAGGTCTTACCCGCGATCCGTGGCATTCGAATACGAGCTATCTGCAAAGGTAGGTAGTTTCATACTTTTGCGCAAGGCAGGAAGTTTTGCTGTTGCATATCGGCCAAGCGGCTTAGCCGCACTCCGACGATGAATCAGACGTTCAACGAGAGAGACGAGGTCGAGATGATCGATGGCGGTGATCTGCGAGTCTGGCATTAGGTCTTTTTGCGTTCTTGCTCACGTAACCATCAGCCCTCCAGTAAAACGGTCAAGTCATTTTGTAGCGAATTCGTGTGATAGTTAATGACCTCTGAAGACTGGTAATCTTCCAGCAGACTCTTGGAATGTCCCTGTCAGGGCGCACTGTCACCCTGTGTTTTGTTTCTAGCAATTCGCAATAATCGATGAAAATCTTTTTTAAGTTTGGATTTATTTTATTTTCGGGCGCGTCAACTGCTTAGGTTATCAGTCCCGTAAGTGTAGCGTATGTTGTATCCAAGGAGGTCGATGTGTTCCTCCTCTGCTGGAACGTGAGATCTGGCGCCGATCTACGTCTGTCTACTCTCATCGTAGTATCTCCCCCGCCGAGTACACATCCCCAGCGACAGGCTGTACTATTATTACTGGTCTTCCGACTTGTGTGGTCTGGTCGACTTGTGTGGTCTGGTCGACTTGTGTAGTGCATGTAAGTGTAGAGGGGATAGGAAGAGAAAAGGATGAATAAGGAAAAAGTCATACGCCTTCAATGACCGGTTGGTTGAAGCATTGCTCCGTCTTTCGACAAATATTAATTGGAGAAACCACCGTAAACAGAGCTTTCAACTGTTAGAATTCTCTTCCAGAAATGGCTGAATTCGATTAACTACCGTAGTGACTCGAACCTTAGAACATTTCGGTCAGAACTATAGTAATAAGAGATGTGGCTCTGGGCCAGACGATTTTAGCATTTTGAAAGCACCCACGTTTGCAATCATTATATCCATATTTTTACATATGAGCACAAGTTATACTTTATAGCAAACAATTAGGCGGTGAAAGGCTTGATATGTGATTCTCCAGACTGTCATGACATTTTTTAAATATTTTTGAAGAGATGAAATTCTCATTTTGCATACTAATTCAGTTTTAAATCAAGTTAGCCATTGTTTTTTATTCCTAATACTCGGGGACTCAGCGCCGTTGGTATCCGACGCCACCAAACAGTCACCCATCCGAGAACCCGTGGTGACTCGAGGTACTCAAAGGTGACATCAATTGATGTCACTGCAGTGCTTCTGATTGGGAAGTCAAGGGGTTTTAGTCCCGACGGTGACATAACTTTCGAAACCAGCTTCTTGGATTGGTCGAATTTAAACACTCGCTGTCTGGAGGACAATTCTAGCTCTCGGCTGCTCTCACCGGTATTTTTCCATGGTTTCTACATCAGGAGGTGGTGACCATCAGTGCTCCGTTTGTTAGGCGGAAGCCTAACAAAAAGAACTACGGACCGCCCGCGATCTTTCCTTCCTCTTCATTGTCCTATGCTCCCCCTTACACAGACTTACACTTTCATACACAACACTACCACACATGCCAGGAGACCAGTTGGGAGCTTAGAGCTTGTCCCGGCTGGGGCGAGGCCTCGCTGGTGGGAGACCCTTATAGCGGAAAACCCCGCACGCCGAGCGGTAGGTCGGCGCTAAATGTCGCTATCCAGCGGGAAAAGATCACTGCCACTTCCCGCGGAAGATACGTAACTAATGACCTTAGCAGTTGACGCGCTCAGAATGACCAATCAACCAACTCCTTTCCGTCCGGCCCGTGTCTCACCTAGAGCGTGGCACTGCGCGTCGGGCAGCGCGGCGCGCAGCTGTCCGGCCGCCTGCGCCACGGAGCCGACGAGCAGCGCGGCCACGTGGCCCACGAGCGCCTTGGCGTGCGCGGAGCGGCGCAGGTCGGGCAGCAGGGCGTACACGAGCAGCGTGGCCAGCAGGCAGGCGGCACCCACGCTCAGCAGCGCCGCGTACACGCCCTGCCGCGCGCCCAGCGACGCCGCCCCGCCGCCGCCGCCGGCGGCCAGCGGCAGGCACACGTGCAGGTCCTCCACCAGCCGGTCGCCGAAGCGCACGCGCTCCGCGCAGAAGCGGCGCAGCGGGCCCGCGCGCAGGTAGTCGTCCGCCACGGCGCTGCCGTTGCGCAGCAGCCGGAAGCCGGCCGGCGCCGCGCCCGCCGGAGGCGGCTCCGCCGTCAGCAGCGCGGGGCGTTCGCCCGCCGCGCAGCTCAGGCCCGTGCCGGCCAGCAGCAGGTAGCCCTCGGCGTCGCCCTCCCACGCGGCCGGCGACCAGGCGGCGTCGGTGCGCGCGCGCGCCGCGCACGTCAGCTCCACGCTCTTGCGCCAGTTGGTGGCCGCGTACACCTGCGCCCACCGCAGCCCGCTCTTGCTCTCGCTCTCGCTCTTGCTCGTGAGCCCAGCGAATGCTTCACTAACGAGCCGAGTTTGCAATACTCTAAGCTCTTTAAAACACAGAATCACCCTCCGCAGACCGCTCTTTGCTCGTGTGCTCAGTGGCAACGTAACTTGCTCGCACGGGGAAGTGTGACTGAGCCGAGTTTGCATTACTTTAAGCTCTTTGAAAATCCAGATTTGCCCACCGCATCACGCTCTTGATCGTGTGCCCAGCAACTTGCTCGTATGGGGAACTATGACTAAGTCACGTTTGTATTACTCTGAGCTCTTTAAAAATCCAAAATTTCTCATCACAGCTCGCCCTTTTCTCATATGCTCAGCGGCGACTTAACTTGTCAGCACGGTGTGACTTAACCGAGTGTGCATTACTCTACGCTGTTTCACAACCCATTGCCTACCGCAGCCCGCTCTTTGCTCGTGTGCTCAATAGCGACTTAAATTGCTCGCACGGGGAAGTGTGACTGAGCTGAGTTTGGATTACTCTAAACTATTTAAAAATCCAGATTTGGCCACTGTATCCCGCTTTTTGCTTGTGTGACCAGCAGCGACTCAACTTCTGAGCCGAGTTTGCATTACTCTAAGCTCTTTAAAGACCCACAAATGCCCAGCGCATGCTCGTGTGCCCAGCAGCAACTTAATTCGCTCTCACGGGGAATTGTGAGTGAGGCGGGAATGGCCTAACTGCATCTCGCGGTCAGTTTTCCCGCACTCCAGCTTCCCAGCTAATCCATTTCACATTTCGTTACCTGTGAAATCATAATTCAACTGGTTTTCAGAAGGAATACACATTTTTGTCAAATTTGTATTTACAAGTAGAGCAAATAGATGTTATCGCACCAATTCAGAGACAACCTCGAATCCAGGGGAACATGGCTGAATCTTCGGATTTGTATAAGTTATGCCAGCGAGGTAAGAAGATGCTCATGATAGGAAGTTTTTAAATTTTGTTTCCACAAACCTTAAATCGGTGATTTTAAACGTTGGCGTTGCTTTAAAATGACATTCAAATGTCTCTTGAAAACAGAAAGAAATGGACCAATTATAATCGATCACTACAGTACTAGCCTAAGTAGACAGCGGTAGAGGTAGAAATCAATCCCTTCACTAAGGAGAATACGAACCGGGAGTCAGTTGGGCTATGCCTTATTGTGAAGGCAGGTAAACGGCTTAAGACAAGTTGACCACAGGATACAGGCGGTACATGTCCACCAACTTTGCATTACTCTAAACTCTTAAAGAAAAGAGAATTGCGGGCTTTGTTTTTATAATTAGTCAGATTGCTACAGTGATTTGTTAAGATTTTCGACATATAAAATAAATACGTCAATATTCCAGAACTCCGTGACTTCTTCATACTTGAAACAGAATTTTAAAGTGTATTCGGATTGTTTACAAGCTCTTTGTGAAACATACTTAAAATGGTTTCAGCATAAGGTTTACTAAATTACAAATAGTATTTTTTATTCATTTACGGTTAACTATTGTATCCAAGACACAATTTTTGAAATTTTCATTTTTGTCGCCATGAAACATCAATTTGAAACATTAATACTTAACTAGCCTATTTATTTCTCGTTCGATATTAGCTGGGAAACATTCGGAACTTTTCCTTTGTCATAGTTATTTAACTTGTTAGAAAAGTTAACATTAAGAAAATACTTTAAAAGAAATTATCTTTCTAAGCTTTCTTCTGAATATTCTGCAAGTTAAAAAAAATTGAATTGTTTAAAAAAAATATTTCTAGAAAAATGTATTCTCCCAAATTGTGTTTTTTTATTTGCATTTTGAATGCTCGCACTCCAATTACGCCGTTTCCTAAATGACACTATTCTCTTTCACATTTCAAGTAAACGGGTGCGGGAGAAAGTTGCTCAGAGTGAGGGAACTAATCGCGATTTGGGAATTTCAGGCTTCCACTTGGGTGGATTAGGGGAAAACTACAGGTTCGTGTGAAGACAGTCTAGCGCACCCTCTCCTATTTTAGAAAGACTTCACGGCTACTAACAGGAAGAAGTGTAATATTACCGCTATAGGATATTTATTTGGAGATATGGAAATTTCTGTTTACCTCACTGCAATACGCTGTCATTATTTTTTATTTCAAAGTTCATATGGCAAATTCTGTATGAAAATATCAAAACGTCTGTCGATAATCAGAAAGAAGGGTGCACATTTAACAGTTCATCGTACATACATTGGTGTTACGCACACTTAAAAACAATTCCAACAAATTTTAATTCTGAGAATGCCCACTGAAGATCCATTACATTTATCAAACGCATTCATAGTGCAAAAATCAGTTTACTTTATATATATATATATATATATATATATATATATAAAATTAAAGCTTAAAGCTTAAAATTATTGTAGATTTAATTTTTGATTTTGCAGTGTATTTGGTGGCCGCATATTTCGTACAAAGTGAACTTGATGTGTGATTAATTCTTTTTCATTCAATAATAATTTATTTTGTAAAAAAATATGTATTTGATCTTTCACGCGAAATGTTTTAGCAGCATGTACATCCTAACGTGACACGTCTTTTTAGTTTTCTGTAAAAAAAAAAAGACGAAAAGGAAATCTGGATACTGCGATATTTCGGTTGTTGTTCGGTGATTGATTTGGGGCATGCTATCGCAGAGGATTGGAGAAAGTAACATCTAATGGACGCAGGCAACGCTGGCATTCCAGGCGGGGAACAAGGAAGTGGCTTCTCGCTGATACAAACCGGTGCAGCTCAACGCACATCGTCTTCGGCGAGAACGTAGTGCTAGTGTCCACTTACGGCACTGATTCAGCATCTGCGCTTTGTTGCATTTACACTTTATGCCTCTTTCAAATAACTATTTCCGATAACAAGATAACTCAAGGGAATATTTCTCAATAAACTAATATTTTGAAGAAAACCCCTCAGGTTGGTCGTGTTTGTCGCAGAAATACGGCCTTGTTCGCATCATAAATTGTCCTGTTACAGAATTGAAAACATAATTCTTACCTAATTCAATTTCGTAAAAAAATGATATTTGAATTATGAGTTAATATCTTAAACAATATACTATTAAGAATGTTATCAATAGTCTATTCCTCATATGTATGAAACAAGTTTCTCTTTTTACGGTTTTTGCATCCACATAAAAAAATATCTATTTTCTCAAAGCTTATTACTATTGTATTAATATTTCCAGGCTGTATTTTGGAACACATCAGCATAAAGTACTTTGAAATAATTGAACTGAATATTTTATATTCTGGTTTTTCTTTCCTTGAAAAACTTTTAGCACGAATAAAAAGTTGTTATAAAATTTGTGATTAATTTCATGGTAGGACTCCGTCTATTGTTGCATGGCATCACCTGAAATCTGAAACGACACAACTACCAGAAACCCTTTCTTGTTTTCGTTTTCTCAATTAAACTTGTATCTACTTAAATTTAAATCTAAAACTAATTTAAAACGAAAATAAAACATCGTAGCAACCGTAGCAATTTGGCTCAGAGTAGCACCAACCTACTATTGTCGGTGATATTTGTGTCTATGCATTATACTGTTTAAGGCAGTACATTTATTCCGAAGATCTTGTCATGGTAGTTGTGCAAGGGTAGGGCAAAGACATGTGCCATTTCGAAGTCTCCACCCTCGAAATTCATAAATTATCAGTGTTTAATATACAAAATTTGTCTGTATAGGCTTCCTTTCCACAAACAAACATAATATTAATATAAAGTAAAGCTATTAAAAACAAACAAAATTATTTGGAGAAGTACAAACAGGCCTAAAAACTTTCAAGTATCGAAACGTTTATAACGTGGAGAATCCTTAACGACCATAAATATTATACTGAAGTCAGGTTTATGGGTCTTAGTCAGAAGGAGCAAAAAAAGATTGTTTGCCAACGTTTCGGAAAATGTATTTTGAGCATCACAGCTTGCGACCATTAGCAGAGAGTACTCACACAAATACATAAACCGCCACATATTCTTTACGATGGGGCACCTGACGGGATGTGAGTAACAAATATACACCTTCACCACACCAATACACCATGACTACTAATGGTAGAAAGGTAGATGTGTTAAAAATATTCCTACTGACCAAGCTCCGTAAACCTGATACCAGTTTAGTACATAGGAAAAGTTGTATATCTGTACATAATTTCAATTTTAAAATTCTGATTTATACCATTTCATGACATAATTACAATTTGTGCTTCTCTAAATAATTGTGTGTGTGTGTTTAATTACCCAGCTTTTCATTAATCGTATGCGTAATCTTGGTCTAATTAAAAACAAAAACCCAACGACCGCCGGTATTCAGCAGAGATACAGATCAGTATGCAGCGCATCGCTCGCGTGAATCGCCAAGCGGAGGCGGCCTTCCCTGCCCCGCCCCGCCCTTGGCGCTGGTGGCGCTGCGCGACGGACCGGCGCCGTTTTTTGCTCCGCCCGCGTCCGCTCCGTCGGAAAAAAACGAGCACGACCGCCGGACACAATCCGGCCGCCCGGCGATGCAGCCGTGATTAGGGGCCATCGTTGCGAAAGAGGGCATTCGCACAGTCAAAAGGTTCGTCGAAAAAGGACTGGACACGGAACCTGAAGTAGCGGTTTACGTAGTAATGAATAGAACGTGAGCTTCGTTTGTGCTAAACTTTCACGTGAGACACAAAAAACTGAATTACATTCATAGATATATTTAACGGTCTAAATAACACTAATTGTAATCATTTCGTAATTGTCCTTTTTTTAGAATGCCTTTTGTCAGTGTAGGTATAAAGTAAATGTCAATATGTACACGCTCTTCATGTAGATAAAGGGAAATACGGTAGTAAAATTAGAATCATAATATTAGTTTTACTTCAGTTAAAAAATAACCTCTTTTCGTTAAGTATCATTTTTCATTTACTTCGTTTCACTAACATTTGGATTATTGCAAAATTATTTATGATGCCTTACATCATGAATATATTAACATATGATATTTTGTATTACTGTAGAGAGCGCATGGTGCTTTTAGTCTGACTCGGAGCGACCCATCATCTTAAATTGACATACTGAGAGTTCGGATCAAGTAATTTCAGTTTTTATACAGTTCTTGTCGTCACCTTGTTCTGAAGGTCAGAGGGAGTAATTTTCGTTCAATCGTCATATTAACGTACGGGAGCCACCTTTGTTGCCAACCATATCACATTGTAATAGAGTTTAGAAAATGATGTGAAGAATTCACTTTTTGAAGGTGTCAGAATGATTTTTGGCGAGAGAATGATTAGTGAGCTGTCTTCAATTTAATTTTAGGCTAATGTCATAATTGTCTTGTTTTGTCCGTTATTTCTGAAAAGTTTATATTATAACTGCTGTTTTTATTACAACTGCATTGATTTCATCTGTATCACACGAAATTTCAACATTCAATTAGGAATGAAATGGATTTTGTCATTAAGACTAAACAACGAAACAATTAATCTAGATATTAATTTTGTGATGAAAGAACACATTGTCACTAAATTTGAAAGATAAATATTTAATTTAGGATCTTTGGAGAAGATATGGAGTTCCTATTTCGTTATAAAGAAGAGAGAAAATGAGATTAATTAATTAATTTTATTTTCTTGAAATGTCCTTCTCATTAATGACATCTTCAACTTCATGAGTGTGAAATGTTTACATTTTGACACTGATTAATGACAGGCAATATTCTACAAGATCAGAGAAATTGCGAGTATCCTGCTCGACTAATCTTCATACTTTAATACATCTGTAATCTTCATACCTATTGTTGCGCTCACATTCACCGTTTGACGGGGAATGAAACTTGCTTTCCGAGTGAAGAATCGTTCAAAATATAACACTTTCTGGAAACTAATATTAGTAACTTGAAAGTGAAATCTAGTTTAAGTGTAGAAACAAGAAAGTATATTTCACACAGCTGACCACGAAGGAACAGGATTTCCATTTCATTTCCTTCTGTTTACAAATATATTGGCTTGTGGGTTGATTTTGTTATGCCGTTAATGATGATGACAAATCAATCTCATTTCTGTTTTATTTAAAATTCTTTACAGAAATTTGTGGGCAATTGCAGTGGTGGAGATAGAACTATTATATTTAGAAAAAAAATTAAAATCCGAAGTTAAGAATAAGGGGGACATAGGAAATATTGCTGATAATTAAGCTCAAGTTTTTTAGCTTTTTATGTCTGGGGATGAAATACTATCTCGCGGAAAACTACTTGGTTTGTGTCGTAACCAGGGGACCAAGAAACTAAATAATTACATTTAGCAATGTCCAATAAAGTTCTAATTATTTTCAAACAATTCTGAAGAAATTCTGCTTTTCTTTGAAACTCTCAAATAATTATTCAAAAAAAAAAAAAAAAAAAAAAAAAAAAAAAAAAAAAAAAAAAAAAAAAAAAAAAAAACTAGAAAATTTCACAGTTTTTATGTGTTTCGACAAGCAATAAGATCCAATCAAACATACAGTCAGACGCAAATCGTCACTAGGCTATTTCATTATGCTGTTTCAATAGAATTAGCGAACAGGTACTGAGCAAAGTTAGTTTTTGCTCTTAATATAGTGCTTGTTTGTAGGTACGCCACAAGGGTAGTACAAAACCCACGTTTGTTAGGCCAAAATGACTAAGAAATATTTGCACAGTTATCATTTTCAGTCATCAATCTACAATATTTACAATAATAAATTTATAATCAGATTCCGATCGATAATGCTTTTAGCAAAATTTCTTTTGAATTTAAGCATCTATAATTCTAATGTAGCAATGCATTCTCCCATCTGACGTCAAGACGCTACCGGCACAAACTATCAACCACACTCCCACCTAATAGAGGCAACACATTCTCCGTCCGACATCAAAGAGATAGTGGCACAAACCGTTATCATTCCATTCAAATAGAGGTAATGCATTCTCCCATCTCACTTCTTGGAGTTACTCGCGCAAACCGTCAGCCACACTCTCGCGAAATAGAGATAATGCATTGTTCCGTCTGACTTCAAAGAGTTACTCGCACATATCGTCAGCCCCACTCCCGCCAAAAAGAAGTAATGCATTCTCACGCCTGACTTCAGAAAACCACCTCGCACAAACCGTCAGCCACACTTCCGCACAACAGAGCCAACGCATTCTTTTCCGTCCGACTTCAAGCAGCTACTCGCACGCGCAGCGCCAGCGAGCGCCACCCACCTGCGAATTGGCGCAGCACTTGCGCACGCAGACGGCGCGCGCGCAGGGGCACGCCATCGCCACGAACGTGTTGGGGCGCTTGGGGGTGGGCGGGGCCGCCACGCGGTCCACGCAGTAATCCTCCGGGGGCAGCAACACAAACCTCCCCGGGTCCCCGCCCCCGCGCAGCGCCAGGCGCAGCCGTCCGTCGCGCAGCAGCGCCACGCGGTCGCGCGCGAACGTCGGCACGAAGAGGCGGTCGAAGCGCGCGCAGATCGGGTGCGCGCCGTACCCCACGCGCGCGCCCGCGGGCTGCCCGGCCAGGAACGGGCCGGCGGCGGCCGGTGGAGAGCCGTCCGCCTCCAGGAGCAGCAGGTCGCCGTCCAGCCACCACGGCACGCCGCCCGCGGAGAGCTCCAGCAGCGCGGACGCGTCCTCGACGGTCGAGGCGTCCCACAGGGGCGGTCCGTCGGACACCTCCACGCACGCGTCCAATGCGCCCGATAGCTGCTGGTGGGCGGGGCAGCACTTGCGCAGGAGCAACTCCCCGGCAGCGGGGGCTGGCACGACAGCTTCCACACCACTCACTCCCACAGCGGCGATTAGCAGGAGCAGAGTGACCGGCATATCTGACTGCTTCGGGCGTGTCACCACAGTACGCGCTGCGCTGCACATTCCGTGCTCTGAAACTCGCGGGATTATTCCCGCACGGGTTGTAGATTTCACCCCGGCGTTTCTTCACTCCCGTGGGACGAACGCCGGCACGAACCTCTGCAATTCTTGCTTCTTAACGCGCGTTCCTTTACGGGCATAGTCACACGCGAGATACACCTCACCACGCCACGCACACTCACAGAACAACAAACACTAAAAACTTCGCGACATCGCGCGCGCGATGTGGAAGTGCGGCGGTCAAGTAGACAGCTCGGCGGGTGGTCGCCGGCCTCGGCGCCCACTACTGGGCGACTGGCGGCGGCGGTGGGTAGTGGGAGCGGCTGGCGCGCCACGCAGCGGCCGGGGCCCCGCTCTCTAGCGACGCCCGTTTCCGCCCCCCCCCTACTCCCACCACCACCGCCACCGCCGGCGGAGCTTTCCGCCTCCACCTGCTGCCAGCTGCCCCCGAGGGAAGCCCGGGGCTGGGGCGTGCCAGGCCGCGTCTGCCTCTGTTGTTGACTCGCGTACTTCTCTTTCCCTTTCCGCGGCGCATTGTGGATTTTGGCACGTTGTTAATTTTTTTTCCTCGTGTGCATGTGGGGTTAACCCGAGATTTGATGTCGATACGCTTACATTAGTAATGTGGAAATGTGCATATACCATTGCATTCTCAGGTAGTAGATGCTGAGAAAATCTTATCATCCAATTCTTTTTCTGAACAGATAGATGTGTATAATGTTCATGAAAAAATCACAATATTTGGATAATGGCATTTTCCCATTATCTTCATCCAGAGAAAGCAATAAAACGTAATTAGAGACCTGGAACATAATTTCGCCGCTGATGAATATTGTAGTTTAATTATCATGATTAATATTGTAGTTTAATTATTATGTTTAACTATCTCACTTTACAATAACTATTTCTGCTTGAAAGTGTCACTCCTATTCGAGAGCGAACACCCTTTACGAATAGAATGGAAACACTTTATGTGGGACCCACTATGCTACGCACTATTTTTTCTTGCCTAGTAAAGAAATTTGATAAATAGTTATTATATATTATATTAGTATTCTGCGATTAATACTACTCAAGTCCATGCATTTTTGTTTTTCACTAACTTATCTTGTAAAATTCAATGAGATTTATGATGTACTAAAAAAGGTAACCTTTGATATCTTAAGTTCGACACTTGTGTTATTATCGAACTTTATTTCCGCAACGATATTATAATTTGTTTAAATAATTGGGACGTAGGCAATTTTATGATTTTTTATTTTTATTTTATATTGAATAATATTGTAATACTGATTTTCACTGTTTATTTCGTGTAAAGTAAATTTCATCAGCTGATAACCATCATCCGTCTTCAGGTTTGATATCATTATCTCGCGTGTTTTCAATTTCCATTTACCAGAAAAGCAAACTAGGGAGAGAGAAAAATAGCCTTTTGTTATGAGGTAATGCTTGTTTATGCTAATTTATACATATTAATACAATTTTTAATTTTATTTGGTATTCGGCTCACAATGAATAGTTTTGATGAAATCATTTTTGAGTCTAATATTATTGATGATTGAGATGATGAATGGATGAAATCATAACATATGTGGATCTCTGCTCTTGTATTTCAAGACATTACAAGGTGAACAATTTCGCGCTCTGTTCGAATCCGCAGCCTTCAACACCCCATATTAGGAGAGAGCTCCAATCTCTCCACGCCAAGAGAACATACTGCCTTTTTTATTAATATTATTATCCACATCAGGGAGCTGACTGAACAATTCGTTGTCACTCTAGAAGACTCTACCCAAATTTGCAATTCACCTTGTGTAGCTCCTCATTGTATGCCGTCAACGACTCTTACGACGCCTATCGAGAGTTGAATACAAATTAGAACATGTCTGTTTCTTCTTTTTCTACTTCTCGTCGTAAAAATCTAACGAAAAAACGTGACACAGGAGCTGAATGTCGCGAATGACGTTGATGCAATGAGGGACAGTGTTTATGAGCTTGAAAGTTTCCGAAGATAGGACCGGCGACCCACTGGATTTTATTCTCTTGTAAGTTGTCAATGTCTTTCTCTGTATAAAATTGGTCCTAGCCTGAAAGACTTTCTCAATAATATGGAATCAATATTTGAGACTCAATGTATAAATTAATTTACATTAATATTTTGGTCAATTCTTTTAAATTTATTGTTCATCTATATATGAAGGGAAGAAGAGGATTTGTACGAATTATTAGATTTCATTATCACAAAAGTCCATGAATGTGCTACCTCATTCCAAAACGATATGTAATAACCCCTCCCAGAAAACATGAAACAAATGTAAGGCGAAAATGTAGATTTTTGTAGATTAAGCTATGGAGAAATCAAAGGGCAGCCAACACACTTCATCACGCATTAATAAAAAAATACATTCCAGGCTCTAAAAAATATTTCAGATTTAACCTATTTTAATTTTTAAAATGATTTACAAAGAAACAAATATTTTCATGAGTTTAACTAGTATTTATTACACTTACAATATATATTTAAAAATTCAATGTCGACATATATTAACCGGAAGTATGTTAAAACCTTATCAAGTCATTATGAAGCAATTTTCAGAATTGGAGTAAATACGCTAAGAAACTGTGGTAGACGGTATCAATGGATCAAGACACGCGTTTTCGTATTATTTTACTACGGTTCATTCATGAAGTCTGCAATTTATTCTTAACATCTTTGGTAGTTATTTCTTTGCATCACCAGCGATTTTCAGGTATTAATTTGCATATGCTCATTTCATTTTGTGCTTCTTGACCCTTAAAACGTAGTCAATAATTTCAATTCGTGATTAGAGTTCGATTTCGAGTTAGAGGTGAATCTTAAGTAATAAAATTTGATTTTCTGGAGTAATACAACAAGATGATGCTGTCACAAGTTATCAATAAATAAATGTTACAGTAACTTTTGGTTGATACATGTTATTCGACTCGTATCATAAAATGATGCAACCAGAGAAGCAAGGCTGTGTAACAATACATCAACGAATCAACGGAACTAATGTATATGCATTTCCTTCCATCATGCATTACTGTTGCACCGATACGTATACTTTCGCGACTTCCTTTCAGACAGCGTGACAACTATGATTTAGTACGTTTATTATGTACTACTTATTCCGTTCCGAACGAGAGAACTCCGTTGCCATTTTCTTTTTGTACACCCTACTACTTCTCCTGTAATAAACCTTATAAAACACTGTCATTACCCGAAAGATGTGAAGAACGCGGAGATCGACCGTGCGTTGCGTCATAGTATCTGCCTAAGGAAGAAGCGTGGGGTGGATGAAGGAGAAGGAGGAGAGTGGGTCAGAACAAGAACACTAGTGCTAACTTCACCCAACATGAGAAATGGAAGAACCGTCGACGTCACCGTGCGGAAATCCTCAGCAAGTCCACGCGGTGAATACCCGAATTTTCTCTCGAACTCCTCTCTCGAGATGAAAGCACTGAAGCAGAAAACCGGTTCCCTCTATCACTCAAATATTGGCATCAATGGGCGCAGTTTGGGAATGACATTAACACGCTATCGCTGTGGTTTAAATTTACGATTATTTTTGTTTGAAAATGAAAGGCTTTGTAAATATATTGATTGGAACTCAAAGTATAATAAACAACCTCTTATTTTATTATATTGTATGAATTAAATATATCATTATCAATGCATGACTACGTAAGTATACTACCCAAGTATACTACGATCATAATAAGTCGTCATATCTGGAATTACGGCAAAATAGTCCCAATGAGGTGGAGTTATGAAGGCACACGAAAAACGGCTCTGCCAGCTGCGGTGCGGATTACATTTGACGTTAAATAATTATTTAACAAAGTAGTGTGCAACAAAGCTGATGAACTCTTCACAAATAGCGGAAGACTTTTGTCATATGAATGCAATATTAAAAGACGTAGTTTTTTTTGGTTCTATCGAATGATTTTTATTTCACTCAGGAAAGTATTTCGTTGAGATAGCGAGAATTCGTTGTAAGTCTTCTCGTAAACTTTTTCCCCCTTCTCATCCTTCTAAGAATTTCAGCAAGTGGTCTGAATTCCAGCGTGAACAACAAAAGGAAATAAAACAAAGACTATCACCCTTCTGCAGTTTTTTTCCACTGAAAATGGTGTGCTCAAAATTAACAATACTCTACAATTTATTGAATGAAGTGTACTTGTAACAAGGATGAATAACTACCGGGAATTGGAGGATAGGTACACCTGGCGCAGAGGTTTTCCTGCGCTTTCACTTCTAAGTACCGATGTAAAAAATGTTCTCCCTCGCGTTGCCAAGACACTGTTGTGGCTTGGCTAAATCCGCTTGTAAATTTCCAAGCACGAATTATCTCAGTGCTCTTTTGAGGCGATTCTGTATAAGCAATCTTGATCGGAGTAACATCATTTGCCAAAAATATTTATTGTTTTGAAAATTGAAGATCCTTTAATTATTCGTTGTTCCTTTAAATATTCATTCTTTTCAAATTTTGATTTAAAATTCCTTTTCATAATAAAATACAGCAAATTTATTTTAAAATTCAGAAATCTCTTTGATTTTATGATTTTTAAAACTGTATGTATTATACGAAAGGAAAGAAGGACGTTAAACATTGTTGAATCTTTACTATAAAAGTGGCAACTGAACATATTTATTTTCTTGTAAACGTTTAGAAATATTATTTTAAGCCCCTTTTTGATATTTTGTTGAATAACCACATAATTTTTAATGAACTCGTAATATTCAACATATCTATTTCGCGAATAAGTACATTATTAAACTCATTGTGTCATTGTAATTGTGAAGTGTCTTATCTACACTGCCTTTTGGAATGATTTTATGCATGGAGGATATACTACGAAATTGGGTTCATAATGTTTCATTTATATTTTAAAATTATTATTTATGAAAAATAATCATAAAAATTGCATTACAAGAAACACAAGAACATAATTAATCAAATGAAAAATTATTAATAATACATATCTGCTAACCTGGTAACTCAAATCGTTTGTCATCTTTTCATTCAGATTTGTGATGGAAGTTCGTAATTTCGTAATTTTACAGCAGACCTTCTGGCACTGTTTTATGCGGCATTTAAGTGCTTTTTTGTCTAATTTTGCAAATTAAGATTCACCTAAATATTGACTTTATATCTTATTGTGTTTACAGAACGTTTTGTTTTCACAGAACAATTCAATGCACACAAAATAAGCAAATGAAAGAAAGACAGGTGCTGGTGAATTGCACAGACTCTAAAATTAGATAATTTATAACTGATTGATAACTCAGATTTCTTAAATTTTGAATCAATTATTTTTTATCATTGGACCCTAAGAACGTAATACACGAATGAAAGAGAGGCAAATCTCCCTTTTAGTTGCAAATTAAAATTAAAAGTAACTTCAGTTTTAACTCGCGACAATTCTCGCTTTCATAAGAGTTGAAAAAGAATTATTTTCATCACTCAAATTAATTTTTTACAGAAGTATATTGTCAAGCATTTTTATTACCTTGGAATGTGAGAAACTGAAAAAATAAAATGAATGAAGAAACTAAAAGTGGTTGGGAGACAAGGTTCTCGTCTCTTTGAGACAATGCCCTTGTCACAAATTTAGAATACGAAACCACAAACAGATTGTGCTTATTTCAACGAATACGCAATCCTGGACTT